CTTGCTCAAGTCCCAAGGATGCCTTGACTTGTGCCGCTCCTAGAATGATGTGCTTCAACCATATAGGTTGGGTAGCTTTGTCGGTCCTTGCTTTGTTGTCTAATATCCTGATAAGTAACTGACAGAACAGCACGATCTGTACTCCTTGACAATTGTCATAGAAACGGCCCTTGCATAGATGGTTCACATGTGTTAAGAAATAGACACTTTGGGAAGATGCTACGAAAGTGAAGTAGTAAACGTCGTGCATTTCTATGCCATGTTGTACAAGAAATAAACTTTCTTTTAGACCAAAAGGTTGATGACTTCATACCTTCGCCATGTATACGTTTGGGTTGTCAGAGATGCTGCTGTATATAGTTTGACTTTTATTTTGCTGGTATGTAAACAAAAGGATGTGCGTGATACATCAGTCGGAGTACAGAAAAACACCTTACACGAGTACAGAATTTTCTGACTGAGTCACGATGTTTGTCATTGTCATCACCCCTGGCATGTGTGTATCTTTTCGGGTGTGGGTTACTAACGAAACAAAGTAAACTTCGAACTTTAAACGCTTATGAATAGTTTAATAAAAAGCCACTCTCACTCAAATGCCAATATGTGAAACAACACTTAGACGAGGAGCTATATAAAGAACTACAGCATAGTATAATGTACGAAAGTACAGTAGATACGAAATCTTATTGATCAACAAAGGCGAACACATAGAATAACAATAACACGTACAAAGCAAACCAGAGTTGAACCCTCATAAAATGCTATGAAACTATTAGAACCCCGAAGACAGCCTGCCCTAACCACGATAGACACCAGGCTAGTCCTGAACGTGTGACAGGGGGGCTACAGGGTACAGTTGAAGCGGAAGACCCCAGGTTTGAAGACCGTGCTGTACGCGATGTGGTCGATGGTGAGCGGGTTGGGGTCTGTCCAGTTGACCAGCGGACGGCCCTGCAGTTTTGAGCTGTAGAGACTGATGGTCCCGTCGTCCGTCGAGCTGACCCACATGCGGATAAACTCTTCAGACTGCCAAATCTCTGCAAGGCAGTAAATGTAATAGTTTATTGGTCAAACATTACCCGTGCAATCGCAGCCCTCTACAGCGCTGAATTATGCAGGGTTTGCAATCGAGTTACAATCACATAAGAATGAATCAATCATCACGAACATTCACGTAATACACATGGTACATATAACATGCTCCACACCCTTTTTGTGGAACTGTCGCAAGGGTCCGCAACAGCCATTCGGCGCCAAGTGACCTCAATACGACTTTACAGATATGAGTCATATGACCTTTATGTGATAGCATAACTACGAAACGTCTACGACATATAGATGGTACGGCGACCTAAGACGAATGTGACCGCGCCGTTAACGTTATACTTTAGGCACAACTGCACTTAAGACACAGACTTCATAGCCAGGCCGGATGCTTACATCGGTGCAATTGTGCCCTAAGCATTACGGAATCTCAAATACTGAAGATTGGCGTTACCTGTTGAAGTTTCGCTCCACTTCTGGTACGCTTTCTCCTGCCACCGGCCTTCGGTCCTCCGAAAAATCTTGACGCCCCACGGGTATGTGCAGATCCGGGTCATGTTGGGGAGGAAGTTTCTCTCGGCGGACAGTCGGAGGTACATCCGGCCTCGTGTCTTGATGTCGAAGATGAAGGGGGACTTTTTTGGGGTCCTCTGCCCAGAACATGTTTCTGCCGGTCGTCGCCACCTCGTCATGGCACGTTACTGTATGGAAGGGAGGATACATTTACATACGTGAAAATATCTAACACAGAATGCACTTTGATAAACATCATGGTCTTGTCTTTCTTTGTTTTGGTTGGTAGAACATGGAATATTGGGATTTTCGTATGCACGATCAGTACGTTTCGAACATTGCTGATGTAGCGATGTCTCAAAGACACCCGTTATTCTTCGGCTCTGAGAAAGGTGTCTGATAGACATCGAAACACGTTAGCAAGGTGACAGAAGTACTGATTGTGTATTAAGAAAATCCCAAAAGGTTCTACCAACCTGATGAAATCATATGTTCGGTAGCCTAGATGCCAGACCCAAAGCACACTGGACAAACATCTTATTTGATCATTCAAAAAGGGCAAACACGTAGGTCATACCCAGGAATATCTCAGTGTGCACACTGAGATATTTTGTGTCCAGTGTGCTTTGGGTCTGGCATCTAGGCTATATGTTCGGAAGAAATCCTGCAAACCATCGTGGGTTCCCATGGCGTAACGGCAGAGTGCTCGACTCGGAACCAAGAGGTCCCGGGTTCGAGTCCTGACATGTCACCGATCTTGTGCCATGGCACTTTACACGACTTTCCTCACTTCGCTCAGGTGAAAATGAGTGTTGTATTGTCCCGTGTTGGTGGTGGCATTAATATAAGTTGAAAAAACTTGAGCTTGTCTTGTGATTACATGTTGGAATAAAAAAAAATCATGCAAACCTTGCTGAGGATCAGGCGGTGCAGGCGTCGTGATGACGTCATTCGCAGCGATGTGGAGGGAGGTTACGTATGCCTGGACTGTATCCTGGATTCTGCGCCTTGTTTTATCACTGACGGTTTTGCCTGATCAAAAACATTTAGTTCAATACGTCAATGAAGTTTTAACATCCACAGGTACCGGAAGAACAGATATCACGAAATGCAAAATAAATAAAGCAACTAGTTATCTGATAATATCCGCTCTCTTTCATGTTTTCTTTTTCATAATCAGGTTAAAATCGAAATTTACTACCTGTGGCAATGTATGATTGTTGGGTATATGGATGGTACTCATTCACAGAGTATAGATTACTCCAAGTTGAATCTAAGGAAAAATCTTTAAAAAATAAACTTTTTTTTTATAATCCATATTGTTAATTATTTTTTATTAACAAAATTAAGAAAAAAAGATAAATGGAACTTGCCACTTTGATCCGGACACTGCAAGGTCTCTTTCAGGGAAGACATTTCCGCCAGAAGTTTGTTTCTGGCCAGTTGTAAAGCCTTCATGTCCTTCCCGATCCGGTACAGTTCCTTTCCATTCGCCACGCCGCCACGGGAGCAGAATTCGCCTGGCTGTAAAAACAATAAGAATAAGGATAAAGGTAGTCGCATAGCATTTTGTGGCCGTGGGCAGTGGATTGTTAGTGTCTAGGGCACGGTTTTGAAAGGCAGAGTGCCTTTTACGCCCCCAAATGAAGTTACATAATCCATTTTACACCATTCTACACACTTCTAGCAGTCCTTCCACTGGTCAGACCCCTAGCCTGACTACATCCCACTTCTAGCAGCCCTTCCACTGACCAGGTCCCCGCAAGCTTGATAATGGCTAACGCCTCCAAGTCAGGAGAATTGGGAACATCTTAATCTTATTCATTTCCTGAATAAATTCTAAAACGTTATAATTTCTAAAACAAATGTGGCGTTACTTACAGTTATCTCGATGTCGTCCTGGGTGGGAGAACGTGTTCCTGTAATCAGAGGGGAAAAATGTTCAGAAATCATCGGATGTTTGATGACAAAAGAATCCAATTGGTTCATATAGAATGACACAAACTAATCAACAACACAGCACACACACGCACAGATGTAGACTGCGTCCTTGGAGCCTGACCTTGAAGCAATTTGTATAAATTGACGTAGTAATCAAACAACAAAAGACACAATTTAGAGGTAACTGGGTGCAATCATGTACGAAATGTCATATTGACCTGGCCTTGAAGTGACAAATAGATTACATAACACACAGGTGGCTAAGTAGTCTCTTGGCTGTTGGTTACAAAGGTTCTGGGTTCGAATCCCTAGCAGGACCCAAATGTTGTGCCCACCTTATAACTTTATATACTATGTATCACCTTGCAATTTGCCTTCGGGCATGATCATGACTTCGTACATAAAATCATTACTATGCTGTTTATGATCATCTATTCCTTCTATGTAGCTGGCAACGAGTCTTCTAAATCATTCGCACTGAAGATAACGGTAGTTAGTTGCCGGCACGGTCACACTCGTGACTTTTGATTTTGTTGTCGTACGATGCCGACGAAGTTTCAAACAGGCTGTTACAGGACTAGAACAAGGATCTCAGACAGATCTGAAGTTTGTGATGAGACATCCCATGCCCTTGAAAGTCAGCCCTTGGATTACCTGTCTCTGGCTCTTCCTCCACGATGGAAACGATTCGCTCCACCAAGTCTTCGACTGATTCGATCTCGTCAGGGATTCCTGTGGATTACGAAGATACATCATATAGTCAGGAGATGCTTACCCACGTGTAAAAGTATAATTTGAAAAAAAAAACTTACAAAACTTAACTGCTCCATGATCAGTGAAATTCGCTTGAACCAAGGACGTTCTACAAGTGATAGAACGCCCTTGATTGAACCAGTGAGGGTTTACATCGTGGTCTTTGCTTTGGTCAATGGTCTTTCAACGGTCTTTCAACAATCACTATATAATGGGCTACAAATAGAAATGAGGGAACATCTACCTGTTGGAGCAACTCTGGCCCGTGCAGCTTCGCAAAGTCGCTTCACCATCATGTCTCTCTCCTTCCTCAGGACCTGCAGACCGTGGTGCAGCCTGTCCCGCTCTCCCCCACGGGTCAGAAGGTATGTTCCAGAAAGCACACCGTCCTTACACACCTGGTGTGGGAAACTACATCTTTAGTGACTGAAGATGGTGGTCTCATGGTTACTAGTAGGGCAACCTAAAGGTTCCTGGTTAGCCGGTTAAAATTCCTGGCATACCCCACTGTTGTGTCCCTGGGAAAGGCACTTAACACCTCATTCGACTCTAAAACCAGACTGTAAGTGCGGTGGGATCTTTATCAATTGGGTAAAGGGCCTCGAAATATGGCTGCCCTCAAACACAAACACAGGACCTCCTGCTTTATGTCCCATCAACCAGGCCTAGGACGTCCCTTGGAGACGCTAGCGTCGTATGTTTCACTTGTGTCAAGTGAGTAGATAGGTGTAAAGTCCCTTTTCCAAGTGCACAATATTAAGCCTGCCAGAGAGTCAACCCCAGAACCATCACTAGTACTAACAACCCTAATCACAAGACCACCTTATTTTTTCCAGTGTAGAAGGTAAGTATGAGAAACTTACCGGTTGTTTGAAAGTGTCCGCATACGGAGCGGTCTGCGACTGCCTCATCAGCAAACACAAACACAGCGTCATCGCGTACATCAGCACTGCTGCCACCCTCATCTTGGCTCTGCGAAAGATACTCAATGTCGTTCTGCAGAAAAACCTCGCGTCGACAAATGTCTTCACAACCGTGAGTTGTGTCGCGCGGCCTTGTCCGCACGAAAGTGATCTCCGTGTCTTAGCCTGCGTAACACAAACTCTCGCTGTGAAGGCCTGATTGGTTCCCGTGGAAGGGCTATTCAGAAGCGGCTTCGTTACCGTAGCAACGAGCGTGGTTATCCTTCCTGGCTGAAACCCGTAGCCACTGCACGGACAGCTAAAAAATAACTGCCCAAAGTGAATTAGTGTGACCAAGAAAAATAATTTGAAGTTATGAGAAAAAATAATTTGATTTTAGTGCATATGTGGAATAATTAGACCACGTCTTCGCAGGTGTTTCGCCTTGGCTATTGAGAAGTGCAGACTGACCTGTTATACGATGTACCCAATTTCCGTTTCTTTGTCGAAAATAATGCAATAAGGAATTTTCATTCAAAGCGTCTGATTTAATTTGGAACCCTAAATTACTAGAAGGTCTTTTGACAGCTCCCCGTCTGTCTAGTCGTTGAATACGCCAAGGACGTTCAACGTCCCTTGTGCACACATAACCGACCCTTGGGCTTCCGACCTTCTCGAGCTTCAGATCATGCTTGGAAGTTATGAAGGTCATCTGTAGTTGGAAGTTGGTCGTCTAGGTTGCCTACTGCTCGTAAAAACTGGTGGCAAGGAACAGAAACTGGAAGTATGATTGCCTTTATTCCAATATTCATCAGAAGATATGGTGACGGCACACTCAAGTTTTTCAACTTATTTTTGGGCCGCCACCAACGCAGATGACAATACTCATTTTCACCTGAGTTAAGTGAGGAAAGTCATGTAAAGTGCCTTTCCCAAGGACACAAGATCGGTGGCGCGCATGGCAGGATTCGAATCTTATTTGTTCTATAATGTATTTTTAATTCAGATAAACCTTCATGTTAGGCTAAAAAGATGTTTCGTGTTCTACTAAAGGTACGGAACTGCAAGTATCAGTGGCCGGTTCTGTCCTCTGGTTTGTAGAACAGGCATCGCTGTCATTCTGGTGTACGCGGCTGAGGTAGGAAAGTCCACAGAGAGGAAGCAAACTTGCCACAAAGCAGCCTCCGGCTACGAAAAAGGACGAGTTGTAGTTGTCGGTGGCGTCATACAGCCAGCCTGGAAAGCACAGGAGAACAAAGGTATCAAAGTTATGATACCTAATACATGTACCTACATCTGTGTGTATCTTATATTGTTTTTGACCTGTTTCTTCGTCCTCGAAAAAGGTCAATGACCTGGACCAGGCGGCTGTCACCATGGTGACTGGTGATGTAGCAGACACCCTGTGGTTTTGGATTACATTGTGTCGCAAATGAGGACAGAGTTGTAGGGGCTGGTCACCATATAATATTATATGAATGTGTTTAAGTAAGACTAAATAAACAAGGCAGTAGTTTGCTAGGCTAGCCCCATGTGAAGGTAAACACTTTGCACTTTCTTTTTTCAGCCTCTGTGCATGTATTATTCGCGAAACATTCAAATTAGCCTGTTGGTCGCTTTTAATTTCGTCGAGGTCATAAAGGAAGAGGTAAGGGTCGGACAACATGCAACAAGATACAGGTTACAACAAATCGATAAACATTTAATGGCAATAAACTTCAATCCGACGTCGTCAACATGACAGGACGTTAGATTAACATTCAAAAATGAGATACAACCTGCTACAGGAGGTCCCAGCAGAATCCCGACTCCCTCGCAGACCAGGGTGAGCCCTAAGGCGTTTGGCATCCTGACCACGCCCACCGTATCGGCGACCAACGGCATGATGAGGGCACGGAAACCACCTGTACACGTTCCCATGGCAACGCTGTAGGCCAGCAGGGCCGGATATGACGTCGCCAGCGGAAATAGGAAACAGGCCAAGGCATTCAGTCCTATGAACATCATGTAAACGTGAAGTTTGCTGATGATTTTGAGGTCTGAGAACCAACCTGAGAACACCCGTGCCAACACCTCGGTGATGCCGGCGACGGAGAGTAAGAATGGCGCCTTGGTCTCGTCGATCCCGCGATATCTCGCGCAGGGCACCACGTGAACATACGGGATGAGGTAGCTGAAAGACGATAACAGGTCCGCGCTCGCGAAGAGCAGAAACCTCCGCTTCTTCAGCAGACTGACGTCAAACTGTTTACGTTGTATTCTTGAGAAATTTCCCTGTTCTTTGATCCTGTTTCTTTCAAGGTCATTTTGTTCCGGAGACTCCCCGGTGGACGTTCCGATCGCCAGTTGCGTGCTCGGTTCGATTTGAGTGTGAGGTGAAGGATCATGGGATACCAAATCTGCCGCTAGAACGATTGGTCGAAGCAAGGCCCCACTGACACACAGGTTCAAGGTCACACCTCCGAGAAGCAGCAATGCTCCTCTCCAGCCATACTCCTGTCAAGGTCAAGAGCAAAGAATTTGAGAAATAAACTTACAACCACGAATGATGTCATCATGACCTGGACGGCGGACGATACCGACTTTTGAGCACCTTTGACCCACTTCTGACGTCACGTTTTCCGATGGCTAACGCGGACAAATCTACCAGTCTGGGATATCCCAAACACTGAAACAGGGCCCATCAGGGGTAAGCAACGATCTTTATTCCAAACTGTACATGGTTCCTTCAAAAACCTGTTCAGGATATCCCTGATGGGTATTTTTGCCCGTGACCCGTTTAGGATATTCCAGGGCGATAGTTTTGTCAGCGACCTGTTTTGATATCCCTGACGGGTAGTTTCAACAGCGACCCGCCCGTTTTGGGACATATAACAGGTGGGTAGCATTGTCCGCGACCCGTTTGGGATATCCAAGACGGGTATAGTTTCGTCCGCGACCAGCTTGGGATATCCCAGATGGGACTCCGTGTCTGTTTTGGATACATACATACAGCTAGCCTCCTTCCCAGACTTCTGAGGCGGTTAGGTGGCAAAGTCTCCCCGGCAAAGTCCCTAGGCGGCAAAACCGTCCCTCCGCAGCATAACTCGGGTCGCTCCCCGAAAAAAAGGAACGCCGCCACCTCAGAAGTCTGCGAAGGAGGCTACCTACGTACAGCAGCTACGCACCTGCTCGAGGAGCTGGCAGATCGGAGCCAGGGCGAAGGTGGCCCCGCTACCGGACAGCGCGATCCCGTTCACCAGGGCGCGGCGCTTGTCGAAATACCGGCCCAACATGGTGACGGACGGCACGTAAACCATGGCGTAAGACAAGCCTGGAGACAAGAAATGCTTTTGAAATATCTGGCCGGGGGCCATACTGGGAATGGCAAGTTGGGTGACGTGTTAAAGATGTGGTCACCTTGGTGACTTGAATTGGACTCACGCTAACGCACTAGAGGCATGGACTCGGCGCCTTCTGCAGATTTGCCTAAGACACAGTTAGTCGCTCAACAACCTGAAAAGGCTATGGGACCTTTACCTTCCTCGAGACCAAGAACGCAACCTACTTACTCCCTAGATTGTGTAACGTGGCTATGATGGGCCCTCCCGTGCAAAGTTAATTGAGCAGGCCGCTATAAGCGCGATAATTTAATTGTTGAGACTGCCAACTTCGCTTAGCTCCCGCTTTTAACACTTTCCCTAAATACCCGGCCAATGACTTAAGCATCCAACGGGTTTTAATGTTTTCAGGCCGCGTTAATGATAATCCAGTCTAGACTACTATAATTACTTACCTGTGAGTACCCCCAGGCTGAAGTACAGGTACAAGACGCTATTGGCGAACGTGCTGAGGACGAGACCCAAGGACGACAGCACCCCGCCAACCATCACCACAGGCCGGGTGCCGAACCGCACACTCAGCGGTACAGCAAGGGCTCCTACATGGGAGAAACACACATCACATTCAGATAGATTTAGTAGCTTCTACAAGGCTTCGGGAAGTGGTTAGAAAGAGTAGACATTGGCCAGAAAGACAGATATATTTCAGACAGTAGTTGTCTGATTCCTATTTATTGCATTGTACCATCTTTGACTCTGTAAAAGCCTTCGGACATGATTTTGCAAATTAACCAAAGGAGTCGGTATGCGCTAACTTCACAGTTTGCCGTGCGCTGTACTCTTGGTTGTACTTACATACATGTACAAAACTGGTGTGTTACCGGTTATGCGAAACAAACAAACAAACAAACATGTTGTGCTACCTCCACCGTGTGCTATAGCTGACATGATGGAGTTGATCCAGGCGGTCCCACCCGAAGTTTCTCCGAAGTACTCCCGGAATTCCACGAAGAACACGCCGAAGGATTTCTGCACGCCGAAGATGATCGAGCACGTGGCGAAGTTGCTGACCAGGATCATCCACCCCCAGCCGCCGTCTGGAGGCCGCTCGTGCACGCGGGGGGCTCGCATGTGGGCTGCGGTCTAAAAAGTTGTTCATCGCATACTAGTATATGTCTGTCATGTAGTCATTCACCCATCGATTAATAATAAATGGTTTATTGGCCAAACATCACCCGTGCAATCGCAGCCTTATAGTGCTGAATTGATGCAGGGTTTACAATGGTACAATGATACAAATCGAAAAATTGATCTGTCTATCTATATTAAACGTTACCCCAATCTTTCTATAAATACACCTATATTCTACCCATCCATCCATCCATTCATCATTTTATCAGTCTATATATCTGTCATGTTATACTACAAATGCATCTATCAGGCTATCAATTTATCATAAGAATATTGCAGTTCTGTTTTTAACCGGTAGGAAGCGCTAGTGACGAGGGGCGAGTTCAAAAGTTCACTATCCTTTTGTTTAGCCTTTGATTCTTTCTGACCTCTTAATCCAGGCATTTACTTATAATTTGACGTTATATAGCGAAATAGGAAAGCATGTCGGCACTGTATAAATCGAACGATGGGCCTTGTGGTAGACATGAGTCATTTGAATGGGATGAATGGGCAGTATAAAACAACACAAAGTGTACCTGTTCAGTGTAACTAAAAGCGGCCCTCAGCCTACTTGGTGAGATAGCTGAGACTTGCACAACTAGTATGCTCGCTGTCAACGCTGAAAGTAACCTCTGCTTTACGCCAGCGACTGACCGTCACGGGTTCAACGCGTAAATTGGTCTTATCACATCAGACCAAAGTCCGTCTATGTGTTTTTCTCCCACATGTCCAACCAGATGTTGGAGTGACATTTTCGGACAGCCGGACAAGTCCACTTGAAGTACATTTAATAGTGCATCAAATTATGCGAAATTCACGAGTAGTGTTCAGAGCTGCTTGGTCTATGATAGAGAAATTCATAAATAGTCCATAATTTTTGTCCACGATCAGGAAAAATATGATTTCAGAAGACCAAAGTTGTTCTGCAGATACCGGCTAACTTGTGTCCCCCTTTGTGTGAATGGTACAGTCTAGGTGAATCTCGCACGACCTCAGGTCAAAGGTCAGAGGTGAACGGAAAAAAGGCGCGTAGCTGAAATATTTACACGGATTTGCAGGGAAGGTTTTGCTTTATAAAAGGTAAAGGCATGGTTATTCTAGTTCTTAAGTATCATGGGATTTTTAATCAATACATTAGGATTATGCCTACATCATTCAAAGTTGCCTAGTACCTTTGAGAACAACAGCAAAGCTTGATAATGTTAGAGTAAAGTTAGCCTGGTATCCAGCCTTGTGAGCTTTAGTCCGCTTCCCAAGATCCGCTCCCCGCCAACAAGGTGTGGAAGCCAGTTACTTTGGGTCTCCATTTGATGGGTACCGGTCTCTGTGGCTTGCCCAGAGCCCTGTAGTTTCTAAAAATTTAACTCTTATCTTGTCTTCATTATTACTTCTTTAACCAGACTCCCTCCATCCAGAAGAAAATTACTATGGCTGCTGTAACCGATGGTGCGAGAAGCTTACAGCCGTTGCCCGCGGCGACGGCCCGCCTGTTGTCCAGTACACAGGTCATCACCTCTGTCTTCAGCGTGGTCAAGGAACTGGTGGAAAACTCGCTGGACGCTCAGGCCACCAGTGTGGACGTCAAACTGGTTCGTATGTTTGTAAACATGTTACTGGCTTTTGTCACAAGAACATTACATATATCCATTGTAATGTCCTTGTCATTTTAGTACATAACTTCTGGGTAAGTACTAAAGTATTGTTTTGGGTGGCTGAGCTGTGGGTTTGTGTGTCTGTTTGTCCGGCCAGTAGGTTCAGGGCTTGAAGTACATAAGTGACATACAGTGAAACCTGTTCTTTAATTGCATCAATTAAAATGAATTCCTTTTGCCTATGGAAAAATGGGGACCAGGGGAAGTTGGTTGTTATGGCCAGGTGGCTGATGTGGGGGTCAGGTTGGATTGTAAATGAAATCTAAACCAATACTTTATTTTATTTCTGCTATTCAGGAGTCGTTTGGGTTTGAGAAGATAGTTGTAAGTGACAATGGCAGTGGGATCAGCCGTGCAGATGCTGAGTACATGGCCCAGCGACATTACACCTCCAAACTGTCCCACCAGACAGACCTGGACAGTCTGGAGACTTACGGCTTCAGGGGAGAGGCACTGGGTAAGTGTGTTTTATATGACCAGGACCAGATGGCTGTCACCATGGTAACTGGTGCTGTAGCAAATACCCTGTGGTGTTACATTATGTATCAGTTGGCAGGACAGAGTTGGAGAGGCTGGTCACCATATGAATGTGTTTGACTTTGAGTAAGAATAAACAGAACAGTAGTTGACAAGGCTTGACAGGGCTTGACCAGATAAAAGTTACTAAAACCTTGTGTATTTGCTATGTAAATGTTACCTTTCCAGTTTAATATTGATGTTTTGTCGTTGCAGGTTCTCTCTGTGCTGTTGCTGATGTGACAGTCACCACGAAGACGGCAGCTGATGACTTCAGCATGACCTACACACTGGACAGACAGGGGAAGGTCACTAACAGCAAACCTGCACATCTGGGACAAGGTATGGGAAAGGAATTATTCCTAGTAACTGGCATCTAATCCTGTTTTGAGAGTTGTTACATTGTATCTGCTTGTCTAAAAGTTATTCAGAAGTTTAAGTTTTTCCTTGTGTGTACCATGTATCCTTCCCCAAATCGGAAAACATAGTTTTCTAGGCAACAAGTATTTATTTTCTATTTATTTCAATCTATGTTTTTTACCCGGATAACTCTTATTAATTATATAACTGAGCACTGATTTGCGTGAGTGTCGGTGGGTACATATATGCAAACAATGTAACAATGCATACAAGACAAGCACAGATTTGTGCAGCAAATATCAAATACTGCAATGTTTCATCTGCTTTTGTGATGTTTCAGGTACAACTATAACAGTCACAAACCTGTTCAAGAATGTCCCGGTGCGCCGACAGTACTACAGCGCCCCCAAGCGGCGCAAGGAGGAACTGAAGCGGGTGGATGACATCCTGATGGCGTTTGGCATCATCAAACCAGACGTCAGGTTTTCACTCATACATAACAAGGTAGACATGCTTAAGGATTATTAATTCTGTTTTACCAGTTATGTAAGTCATGGTGCCCTCAACGAGGTCAACGGATAGGTGACCAGTTATTTTACTTGGTTTGGGGAGTATCAAAGTGGCTACTGAAATTCCTAACACTCTTTGCCATTTTTATTTTCTGAAATACATGTACTACCTGTTATTTTCTGTCAATGAATGAGTCTGGGCAGGTTTTGTTTAAACTGTTTGTAATTGCCTTCAACCAGCTTTAGAGCTATAGAGCATCCTGCAAATTAAAATATGTCCTGAACATAATCTAACAAAGCAAGACATTATGATGTTAAGATAGTACATTGTAACCTTGTCTCAGCAACCACCCAAGGGACTAGGGACAGGTGGTTACTATGGACAGGGTAGGGTTAGCAGATGGATATTGTTATCCCCATATATATGCCTTGCTGGGACATGTACATGTAGTAAGTCATTATTTAATTAGAATTTTGCTCATATTTGCCCAGAGCACAGTGTGGCAGAAGAACAAGTCCGCCGACCACCGCAGCGCTCTGCTGAAGGTACTGGGTACTGGCACCATGGCACTACTGCAGGGTGTGGAGCACAGGAGTCTGGAACCTCAGGTAGAACAAGTATGGCATTGCAAAGCTTGAAATACTGGATGCATATGTGCCTTAGGGCAGGTAAAATTGGAGCTGTAGGTTCATGTACATGTATGCCAATTGGAGGTCAGAATTAACTTGAGTGAATACATTAATTTTGTTGACAATAGGTGGAGGGCATTGTGTGAAACTTTTAATAAGACTTGCACAGTTGAAACATTTTGTGTTGGAAGTTACAGTGTAGAATCTTATTCTGTAACAGGTAGATGTTCATGGGTTCCTTCCCAAGCCAGGAGCTGACCCCCAGGCCGTCACACGGGCAGCAACTGACCGCTCTTTTGTCTTTTTCAATGAGAGACCGGTCCAAATGAAGGGAGTAGAAAAGGTAACACAAATGTCCCAAACACAATTTTTTTTGCTATGTCCAATGCTAGATTATTGTCCTGTATAAGTATATATTAACATTATTGATAATAACATTAGAAATTTAGTCTAAATTAATGCAGTTGCTAGTATAGAGTGAGTCAAAATGTGGTGTCATCAAGATTGACATGCTTGCAGCATTTATTTTCACATTGTTGGCTGTTGTGTGTTAAGTAATAAGGTAGAGAAATCTCATATTTCTGATTGTTTGTTTGTTTCAGCTGGTGCGTCAATATTACCATGGCAGCACGTCTGAAGGAGGTTCCTCACGGCATCCCATAATATTCCTCAGCATCAGGGTACCCCCTGCGGAGATTGACCCGAACGTGGAGCCCAACAAAACCAAAGTTCTTCTGCATCACAACGTAGGAAAACTTGATGTTTTTATTAAAGGAATGTTAATATATAGATTATGTATGTGTGCTACTACTACTACTACTATTACTACTACTATGTGTGCATGTAAGTAAGTAAAAATATGTGCAAGGAGATTGTAGTCAAAATGTGTGCAACTTTGAGAAATGCAAGTCACACAAGTTTACTTTTTTTTCAGGATTCGATCCTGTCAGTTATTGAAGAAATGTTGCAGACTGTATACAGCTCTTCTGATGACTCAAGCCACGATAATACAACAGGTACATGTGATGAAACCAGAAAAATATCACATAACAGTACAAGTGCCCTGGACACCAACAAACTGCAAAACACACTTGAAGATGAACAGCTGTCCTGTGCCTATAGTTCAACTAAAAGTACAAATGAAGAAGATTTAACAGAAGGAGCAAAGACTGCATCAATAGACTGCGACATTCAAGAGTCAGAAAAAGAAAGACGAGTTGAAAACGGTCATGGTAGTCATGCTGCAGTAACAGTGCATGTAGATGATGAAATAATGGATGTAGAGCATTTGGGTACAGAAGAGAATACAACTTTGGATACAAGAACAACAAGCGACATCTCAAGTTGTGACTCAGATGTTACAATGGGGGACTCCATACTTGCTGAGATCAAGACCCCTGACACCTCTTCCACAAGGCCCCATAGGCCAGGAGAGGAATCAGAATTATCCTTTTTCTCTATCCCTGACTCATTGCTAGCAGGAGTGGAGTCACAAGAGTCTCTGCAGCCAGCAGACAAACTACGTGAAGATTCTCAGATTAGTTTTTCTATTTCTAGTTCTTTTCTCGGAGACCTTCCAACTCCAAGTCCAGCTAAAACTGTAAGGAAAGACGAAGATGGCGTCAGTTTCAACCTCCTGACTCAAGCTTCCCTCAGTCTTGTGCTAAGTGATGAAGAAAAAGAAGAAAATGACAAAGAAGGAAGAGAAGAGAGTGAAGGTTTAGCTACAAATACTTCAAATTCAGCCAATCAGACACTTAAAAAAGGTGGAATTCCCCCTCTCCCTTCATTGGACGGTGACAGTCCCACCTCAACCAATCAGAAAGAGGATGGGATTTCAACAGCCAATGAGGTTTCAGCAAAGACATGGAGTGAAGGGAGGGGATTGGTCAACTCCGTTGGAGAGCCAATTGAACCTGTGAGACTATTGGTCCCTGGAGCAGCCAATCAGGGACCAGAAAAGTCACCACACACAGGAATTGACAGGGGAAGCCCAGGAAGGAAAAACACCATCCTGGAAAAGGTGAATTGTTACTTGTTTATTATATGAATACGCAGTAGCCCTACACCATGTAAAGGCTGGCAGAATATGTGTTAAGGGAGCGCTTATCTTTTGGAAACTCCAGACTTGAGTACTTGATCTAGTGACAAATGCTAAGCCATCAAATTGAGCCAGCCAACATGTAAAAGATGAAAAAGAAAAATTTTTATGATACATAAATTTTGTATTTACAGGAGGGCCATACAACCATGTATGACCTGGTAGGGAACAAACCGGTGAAGAAGCCACAGTCAGCCTACAGTTTCTTCATCAAGGATGTCAGACCTAATGGTAAGGAATTAGCTGGGGTCATAGATTGAAGCATTATGCTTCACACAACCTCTATGTAGGTGTTGAAGCATGATGGTTGTTCTCTAGTAGTAAAGTTTTTCTTGGCTCAATGTTTATCAGAACATTGTACAGTGCAAAAATGAGGATTCAGGTTAATATTTACTAGGAGAAAAGCACTCAAATTATGGAAATTTTAACCATTGATAACCATTAGAACCCCATGTGATACATCAGGTAGTTACCACAGGCTGGAACAGGCAAATCAACGTTATTGCAGACCAGCTATGTGACATGATTGTTTTTCTCAATCTCCTTCACAGTTTGCCAAGAGAACCCAGAAGCTGACTTTGCAGAAATCGCTCGCCTCATTGGTCAATGTTGGAATGAGCTGGCCAATCAGGAGAGGCAAAGATATGAAGCCATGGCAACCAGAGATCAACAGAGATACCAGGCACATCTTCAGACACTGCAAGAAAGAGAAAGTAACGCATCTGCAGATTCGCCTGTACCAAGGAAGAACAGGCTGACCACCAAGAAAAGGAGATTGGACCCAGTTTCCCACCAAAACCTCATCGACAAAATGTTCCAGTCACAAAAATTAAGAAAGGAAAAAGAAGGAAACAAAGAGCCTGTTTTGAAAGTGGTGGACGTTAGCTTTAGAATGACATGGTTGAAAGAGAGGGTTGGGAAAGAAGAAATTTCCAACAGGAGTGATGGGGGCGATGGGTCCCTTCGTCTGATTGGCCGACTGGCACCACATGGGGTGTGGGTCGGAGTGCAAGGGTCGGAGGTGGTTGCAGTTCACCAGTACAGGATACAGGAGGCGTTGCTGTACAACAGGCTGATGGAGACTCACGTGTTACCAAGGCAACCACTCAGGGTGCCGGTGGTTCTGAATGAAAGGTACTGAGTGATACACAATATGGTAGTTCAACCTACCAAAGTGAAAATGTGCAGTGTGGTACATGTGGTTTAACAGCATGCAAATGTATGTATGTGTGTGTCTGTCTGTCTGTCTGTTTCTCTGTGCATGTGTGCGCCTGTGCACGTGCATTCTTGTGTTTCTTCAAAAGATTATTTGTTGAAAATGTTAAGTATGTTTCATTTGATATAATATAGAAAATTCACTAACACTAGGCTTATCATTTACATTTGTCAACAAATGCCATGTATATTTAACAGCAAAACTTTGTGGTCATATTTTAAAGTTGTAAGTATGACACAACATGTTTTTTATTTCCACCCCCAGTACAATAGGAGGGTCCCTAGCATGGCAAACCCTGCAGAACATGTCGAGTGAGAGTGCCCACCCTGGCCCTGCTAGGAGGATCTCTGATCCACGACTGGTCAGCAACGGGTTCGACGTCCAGCTGACCTCGGACGAGGACGGGAACCAGAGGGCTGAGATTGTTGCCATGGCAACCTGCATGCCCTTTTATGGGGTGGAGGATTTGAAGGAAACTCTGAGTGAGTGAAGCCAAACTTTTCTTTTGGTTGTGTCATCACCATTATTCGAATATCTGCTTTGAGATGAATGTTGATGTTTTGCCTGCAAAGTGATTGTTTTACAAAGTATCTACTATACTAGAGATACAATGTAAAGGAAAAGGGGGTTCATTTCATGATGTTGCTCTGTGCTGAACAAGTTCTGGTTGTTTCTAGGCCTCATCAGTACTACCAACAGCACAACAGTATCCAGTAGCAGGCCATTTAAAGTTAAACACTACCTACAGGTCAGTGACTTTATTCTGTTTCAGTCAAAGAATACAAGGAACTTGCAATGAGTCTATGCATTCCTGAATTCTATGTACAATTATTATGATACTTATTTTTCATCACAATTGAAAAATATGTGGTAGAATTCTTTTTGGGGAGTTTTTGGAACTTTTTTCTTTGCGTTGCCCCATTCTGCAATCCAGATTCACATCAATTTTGGCTTTTTCAAGGAATTGTATAATCATTTTTAAAATTTTGCTAATCTCAGTAGATCCTTCTGTACTAGGTTCATTTGTGTTGTTAGTATCTTCTAACTGTACACTTCTTCCTCTCCTTGTCCTACATGTACGTTGTACCCCCCCCCCACAGGGCGAGGCAGTGCGCATGTCCCGTAGTCTGTCCAGCACCATGTCACGTGACGAGGTGTGTGAGATTCTCAGGAGGAAGGACAGGGAGCTGCCCAGGTGTCGGACATGTCTACACAGCCGACCCTTCATACAGGGCATATACACACTGGAGGAGCTGTACTCACAGGGTAGTCAGTCACACAGTCAGGAACAGTAATGATGAGGTTTGTGTAGGTAGGTCACTTAAAAGCAGTGTTTTAAATTCTGCTAACCACCTCATCTGAACCCCAATAACTAATCATTTACCAAAAATCAAAGAAATCCCACCGTGAGTTATAGCTGACATCTGTAATGAATGACCTTTACTAGCTGATTCGATTTGAAACGTCTGAGAATTTATCCAGCCGCTTGATTGATTTTGTACTGCGTATAATACTTGTTCTAACGTTTATCAACGTCATGCTTGTAGGACATAAAGTTGGCACACCTTCTTACCTGTCTGGACTGTTCCATTACACATAGATTCGAGGGTGGCCAGAAAACATTTTTTCCCCTCATTCGTGTTACATGTAATATGTATGTCCATTGCATACCCCCATGGGATAAGTACCTTTTATTCAAAAGACATGCACATGCATTGAGCTTTTGGGGGGAGATACAAAAAATATGCTGCTAGGAGCCAATTTTTTTACACACATCCATTCCAGGTCATTGCAGATAGAAAGAAACAATGCCCGAGGGGAAAGTCAAAGAGTAAAGCATGCATGTAATTATAACGTGTCACATGATCATGACAGGCACGTCTGTACTTGTCTAGATATATATAGACGTTAGTCATAGTTCGGTGAATAATTTCATTAGGTCGGTGAATGATTGAGTAGTTCTTTATTCACAACCACTTGTCTTCCATCTCGGTCATGACTGCTTCACTGTGTGCTGAACGATGTATTGCCATGCTAACAAAGCAGTCCCAAACGCAAGTGATGGGGACATACATAGATATAGTTAAAACATATACTGCAGTTCCAAACGTAAAGTACATCCTGTACATGATTACAACTGGGAATCCCCTGACGAACAAATCAGTGTCGCACGCAATGTGAAATTCCCAAGGTGTGGCAATATGTTTTCTTTTGTGCCCATGTCTACACTTCGTCCTAGTTCGGGCCTTCGAATTCGGGATCAAAATCGGGATCAAAATGGCTGAATTCTGCCTATAAGTCAAGGTGAGTCCCTCCTACTTCCTTGAACCTATTTCTGTTGGTGAGACCATTATCCGGCACTGTTCAACCAATATCAAGGTCAAAGGCTGAAAGCTGTTTCGATTTTCTGGCCTTTTCGATATACTTCAAACCAAAAGGCGTTATGCGATGCTACCTTAAATGTCTGTCCGTTTCCAAAATCATATCCAGTTGCTTGAGTAGCTTTTTTTGGTGTAGAAGGCGTTATGTAAGCATTAAATACATACATGTATATGTGAATAAATGAATAAATTTTCTGACTCGGGAATGACAAACTGACGTCAACGCAAGTTATGGTAACAGATCAGAGATACGTTTTGCACAGTATATTTATGTTTACCCTTGTTTTTGCTCTGTTTCTTCTTGTCCAAACCAATAAGGTCAATGACCTGAATCAGACGTCTCACACCATGGTACCTAGTGTTGGGTTACATCATGTTGCAATTTTATAGCAGGAGGGATTTAGACTCCTATCTGACCATATATATAATGAATGTGTTTGAGTAAGAACTAACAGAGCAGACCATATGCGAAGGTGAACATTATGTGTTTGCTTTGCGAATGCCTTTCTAATGGCATAATTACCGAGACCACATTCAACTTCTGGGTTTCTTCCAGATCAAAATGGGAGCGGTAGAGAGCAAATCTGAAAAGGAAACGGCGATTGAAATTTTTCCAGAGTTAGACGGCTGGGTTTCCTGTTCTGGGGTCGAAAATGGAAACTATTTCCCGGGAAGGGCCATCTTGTGTAAGACCAATATGTGTTCTACATCGGGACAAATTGTCCTCGATTTCCAAAACCCGACCCTAAGATTTAAAGGAGGCCTCAAACAATGGTCAGACATGAGTAAACAAGTGACAACGGTCGACAACAGCCCCCAGAAATGGTCATACACTTTTATAGAGGGTAAAGACATTGATCTTTGGCTGTCAGCAGAAGACGAATCCAAGATTGCTGGTGGAAGGAAGAGTTCTAAAGAGTACAAAATTCTCTTTGAACACTCTAAAACGATCAGTGTCGACATCGAACACGTTCGCGCAGTCTTTCGGGACAGAGTTCTTAATCAAGCCACCGACGGGATACAAGGAGAGACCAGCTTTTTCGTTCGTGACGGACGTGTTTGTCGGTTGACAAGGTGAGGTGCGAGAGCTCTAAACGTGTTGACGACCATCTTGAAGCCAAGTTTAATTTCCGGAAAGGCCCAGGAAGACTGCCAGGAATGGGGATGAATGCTAGACGAAACCGTACTGCGGAGATATCACAAAGTTCGGACACTCAAATCGCACTGTACATGAAATGTGTCGAAGTCAAATACGACCCAACCACCGAGAAGATCTCGGAAATCGTGAGATGCGACCCTTCAACGTTTAGAAATAGCTACACAGTGATGGACTCCAGGTCACACTTCCCAAGATATCAGTATACGGTAAACAACGGCAGCTTGATAGGTGAGCCCATTTTACTACGTTCATCCTATTTTTGTAGGTGAGACCATTGTGCGATACCACCATGCATGATCGACAGAAATTAAGGTCAATTTGTTTTTGGCGACGCCTCAGGGGGGAGCCTAATGGTACAGTATTGTGTGCAGTTTGCAAGAATTCTAGGAATTGCACAGGCATTTTTTTCCACAGGAATGGAATGTCTACAGGCATGTCTGGGATTTTGCTGACACACATCTATGCCCACATTCCTACGTAGTGAAATTCCAGGAAACCCTTGGGACATTGTGGAAATTGTACAGATTCACAACTGAGCAGACACATGCTGATTTATATCCCTGTCCACTCGCATGCAACATTATCTAGCTGTAACGTTATATCTGTAAGTCTCATTTTCAGCATTTCCCCAACATGTTCAGGGTCACAATGTGAGTTATCAGAATGCCACAAAGAGGAGTATCCATTATGATCTAATACCGGTATGTCTTTAACACGTTGCAATAAAGTTTGTCTACGGGTATTTGTAGGCTTTGCTGTAAGAGAGAGCATCCGTTTGAAGGGAGTGGGAGGTTGTGTCCATTTGGACCAAGCATAACCAGAATTTAACTACTAGTATATCTATATACAAATATCTGTATCTAAAGGAAGTCTACCTAATTCTGCTCTACAGGCGACATTGCTTACTATTTCTAAATACACCAAGAACATTTTTACAGAATTGGTTGTGTACATTTTCGATAGGTGAGGTCTCATATGTAGT